AGTTGGGTCATTTCCCGATCTTTCAGTTATATGGCAGCTATAGGATATAGTCGGCCGATCCTCATGAAGTTTGTTAGTTGGATCAACTGACTAAAAATAGAATCTGTACTAAGTTTCAGTTTTCTATCTTCAAAAACACAAAAGTTGGGTCATTTCCGATCGTTCAGTTATATGGCAGCTATAGGATATAGTCGGCCGATCCTCATGAAGTTTGTTAGTTGGATCAACTGACTAAAAATAGAATTTGTACTAAGTTCCAGCTTTCTATCTTCAAAAACACAAAAGTTGGGTCATTTCCGATCGTTCAGTTATATGGCAGCTATAGGATATAGTCGGCCGATCCTCATGAAGTTTTTAGTTGGATCAACTGACTAAAAATAGAATCTGTACTAAGTTTAAATTTTCTATCATCAAAAACACAAAAGTTGGGTCATTTCCGATCGTTCAGTTATATGGCAGCTATAGGATATAGTCGGCCGATCCTTATGAAGTTTGTTTGTTATATAAACTGACCAAAAATAGAATTTGTACTAAGTTCCAGCTTTCTATCTTCAAAAACACAAAAGTTGGGTCATTTCCGATCGTTCAGTTGTATGGCAGCTATAGGATATAGTCGGCCGATCCTCATGAAGTTTGTTAGTTGGATCAACTGACTAAAAATAGAATTTGTACTAAGTTCCAGCTTTCTATCTTCAAAAACACAAAAGTTGGGTCATTCCCGATCGTTCAGTTATATGGCAGCTATAGGATATAGTCGGCCGATCCTCATGAAGTTTGTTAGTTGGATCAACTGACTAAAAATAGAATCTGTACTAAGTTTCAGTTTTCTATCTTCAAAAACACAAAAGTTGGGTCATTTCCGATCGTTCAGTTATATGGCAGCTATAGGATATAGTCGGCCGATTCTTATGAAGTTTGTTAGTTATATAAACTGACCAAAAATAGAATTTGTACTAAGTTCCAGCTTTCTATCTTCAAAAACACAAAAGTTGGGTCATTTCCGAACGTTCAGTTATATGGCAGCTATAGGATATAGTCGGCCGATCCTTATGAAGTTTGTTAGTTGGATCAACTGACTAAAAATAGAATTTGTACTAATGTCCAGCTTTCTATCTTCAAAAACACAAAAGTTGGGTCATTTCCGATCGTTCAGTTATATGGCAGCTATAGGATATAGTCGGCCGATCCTCATGAAGTTTGTTAGTTGGATCAACTGACTAAAAATAGAATTTGTACTAAGTTCCAGCTTTCTTTCTTCAAAAAAACGAAAGTTGGGTCATTTCCGATCTTTCAGTTATATGGCAGCTGTAGGATATAGTCGGCCGATCCTCATGAAGTTTGTTAGTTGGATCAACTGACTAAAAATAGAATCTGTACTAAGTTTCAGTTTTCTATCTTCAAAAACACAAAAGTTGGGTCATTTCCGATCGTTCAGTTATATGGCAGCTATAGGATATAGTCGGCCGATCCTCATGAAGTTTGTTAGTTGGATCAACTGACTAAAAATAGAATTTGTACTAAGTTCCAGCTTTCTATCTTCAAAAACACAAAAGTTGGGTCATTTCCGATCGTTCAGTTATATGGCAGCTATAGGATATAGTCGGCCGATCCTCATGAAGTTTGTTAGTTGGATCAACTGACTAAAAATAGAATCTGTACTAAGTTTCAGTTTTCTATCTTCAAAAACACAAAAGTTGGGTCATTTCCGATCGTTCAGTTATATGGCAGCTATAGGATATAGTCGGACGATTCTTATGAAGTTTGTTAGTTATATAAACTGACCAAAAATAGAATTTGAACTAAGTTCCAGCTTTCTATCTTCAAAAACACAAAAGTTGGGTTATTTCCGATCGTTCAGTTATATGGCAGCTATAGGATATAGTCGGCCGATCCTTATGAAGTTTGTTAGTTGGATCAACTGACCAAAAATAGAATTTGTACTAAGTTCCAGCTTTCTTTCTTCAAAAAAACGAAAGTTGGGTCATTTCCGATCTTTCAGTTATATGGCAGCTATAGGATATAGTCGGCCGATCCTCATGAAGTTTGTTAGTTGGATCAACTGACTAAAAATAGAATCTGTACTAAGTTTCAGTTTTCTATCTTCAAAAACACAAAAGTTGGGTCATTTCCGATCGTTCAGTTATATGGCAGCTATAGGATATAGTCGGCCGATCCTCATGAAGTTTGTTAGTTGGATCAACTGACTAAAAATAGAATTTGTACTAAGTTCCAGCTTTCTATCTTCAAAAACACAAAAGTTGGGTCATTTCCGATCGTTCAGTTATATGGCAGCTATAGGATATAGTCGGCCGATCCTCATGAAGTTTTTTAGTTGGATCAACTGACTAAAAATAGAATCTGTACTAAGTTTAAATTTTCTATCATCAAAAACACAAAAGTTGGGTCATTTCCGATCGTTCAGTTATATGGCAGCTATAGGATATAGTCGGCCGATCCTTATGAAGTTTGTTTGTTATATAAACTGACCAAAAATAGAATTTGTACTAAGTTCCAGCTTTCTATCTTCAAAAACACAAAAGTTGGGTCATTTCCGATCGTTCAGTTATATGGCAGCTATAGGATATAGTCGGCCGATCCTCATGAAGTTTGTTAGTTGGATCAACTGACTAAAAATAGAATTTGTACTAAGTTCCAGCTTTCTATCTTCAAAAACACAAAAGTTGGGTCATTTCCGATCGTTCAGTTATATGGCAGCTATAGGATATAGTCGGCCGATCCTCATGAAGTTTGTTAGTTGGATCAACTGACTAAAAATAGAATCTGTACTAAGTTTCAGTTTTCTATCTTCAAAAACACAAAAGTTGGGTCATTTCCGATCGTTCAGTTATATGGCAGCTATAGGATATAGTCGGCCGATCCTCATGAAGTTTGTTAGTTGGATCAACTGACTAAAAATAGAATTTGTACTAAGTTCCAGCTTTCTATCTTCAAAAACACAAAAGTTGGGTCATTTCCGATCGTTCAGTTATATGGCAGCTATAGGATATAGTCGGCCGATCCTTATGAAGTTTTTTAGTTATATAAACTGACCAAAAATAGAATCTGTACTAAGTTCCAGCTTTCTATCTTCAAAAACACAAAAGTTGGGTCATTTCCGATCGTTCAGTTATATGGCAGCTATAGGATATAGTCGGCCGATCCTCATGAAGTTTTTTAGTTGGATCAACTGACTAAAAATAGAATCTGTACTAAGTTTAAATTTTCTATCATCAAAAACACAAAAGTTGGGTCATTTCCGATCGTTCAGTTATATGGCAGCTATAGGATATAGTCGGCCGATCCTTATGAAGTTTGTTAGTTATATAAACTGACCAAAAATAGAATTTGTACTAAGTTCCAGCTTTCTATCTTCAAAAACACAAAAGTTGGGTCATTTCCGATCGTTCAGTTATATGGCAGCTATAGGATATAGTCGGCCGATCCTCATGAAGTTTGTTAGTTGGATCAACTGACTAAAAATAGAATCTGTACTAAGTTTCAGTTTTCTATCTTCAAAAACACAAAAGTTGGGTCATTTCCGATCGTTCAGTTATATGGCAGCTATAGGATATAGTCGGCCGATCCTCATGAAGTTTGTTAGTTGGATCAACTGACTAAAAATAGAATTTGTACTAAGTTCCAGCTTTCTATCTTCAAAAACACAAAAGTTGGGTCATTTCCGATCTTTCAGTTATATGGCAGCTATAGGATATAGTCGGCCGATCCTCATGAAGTTTGTTAGTTGGATCAACTGACTAAAAATAGAATTTGTACTAAGTTCCAGCTTTCTATCTTCAAAAACACAAAAGTTGGGTCATTTCCGATCGTTCAGTTATATGGCAGCTATAGGATATAGTCGGCCGATCCTCATGAAGTTTTTTAGTTGGATCAACTGACTAAAAATAGAATCTGTACTAAGTTTAAATTTTCTATCATCAAAAACACAAAAGTTGGGTCATTTCCGATCGTTCAGTTATATGGCAGCTATAGGATATAGTCGGCCGATCCTTATGAAGTTTGTTTGTTATATAAACTGACCAAAAATAGAATTTGTACTAAGTTCCAGCTTTCTATCTTCAAAAACACAAAAGTTGGGTCATTTCCGATCGTTCAGTTATATGGCAGCTATAGGATATAGTCGGCCGATCCTCATGAAGTTTGTTAGTTGGATCAACTGACTAAAAATAGAATTTGTACTAAGTTCCAGCTTTCTATCTTCAAAAACACAAAAGTTGGGTCATTTCCGATCGTTCAGTTATATGGCAGCTATAGGATATAGTCGGCCGATCCTCATGAAGTTTGTTAGTTGGATCAACTGACTAAAAATAGAATCTGTACTAAGTTTCAGTTTTCTATCTTCAAAAACACAAAAGTTGGGTCATTTCCGATCGTTCAGTTATATGGCAGCTATAGGATATAGTCGGCCGATCCTCATGAAGTTTGTTAGTTGGATCAACTGACTAAAAATAGAATTTGTACTAAGTTCCAGCTTTCTATCTTCAAAAACACAAAAGTTGGGTCATTTCCGATCGTTCAGTTATATGGCAGCTATAGGATATAGTCGGCCGATCCTTATGAAGTTTGTTAGTTATATAAACTGACCAAAAATAGAATCTGTACTAAGTTCCAGCTTTCTATCTTCAAAAACACAAAAGTTGGGTCATTTCCGATCGTTCAGTTATATGGCAGCTGTTGAGAAACGGACTCCATTCTGGCGGCGTTGCCAGTGTTCAGGTTGCCATGGCAATGCAGATCGACGCGTCGTCTTTTCTTACTGTTAGTTTTTGCTTCTTTATACACATTCGAGCGCTGCGTCGCTTTTAGTTTTTTAAGTCACTTGTTCTTCAGCAGTCAATCCGTGAACACACAGCATAGTACATACAGTCCACTTCAATAAAATATTTTGGAAACACAACATCGCACTACGTTTCTCATCATAGAAGAGTTTGGTCCTTCGAGCCGGATTGACTGGAAGAATAATTCGCTTGGTATTGCCTTAAATGGAGGAATACAAACTACTGGTTGCGGGCCGCCGCAGACTCAAGAGTACGATCACGAGGATCGTGTCCTTAGCTGAGCGTTTACCTGCAACACAATCAAAGGATGGAATCGAAGTTTTGCTGGAACGATTAGATTTTGCATGGAGCGAATTCGAAAAGCTTGGAGATGCATTATCCGTTCATGATCAGGTCGATGGGTACGTAGATCCAGCCGACGACAACGCAGAATACGAAGCAAGGTACCTGAGGGCAAGGGAGTTCCTTGTCTCAGCAAAGCGCTCACTGGAGCCACAAGCACCATCAACAAGTCAATGCAATGACTCAATGGGCAATGGAGTCGCACTTCTCCAGTTGCTACAACAACAACAACAGATGCTGGAACGTATGGCTGTTTCCGACGCAGCAAGTACACCTATTTCAAACAATGGCGTCGTGGACGCAGAACCAATGCACAATGAATTACCGAAAATTCAAATTAAGCGTTTTGCTGGAGACTACAAGGAATGGCCAGCATTTCGAGACATATATGACAGTACCATTCATAAGAAACGACATCTATCAAATACGCAGAAGTTTCATTATTTGAAGTCACTGTTGACCGATGAGGCGGCAAGCCTTATTGCACATTTACCAATAACAGAAAGCGCATACGAAACAGCAGTTTTGCGTTTAAATGAGAGATACGACAGACCACGCCACATTGTTTATTCCCTATTGGAGAAATTCACGAAGCTGCCGGAGACCACAAAGATTGATGTATCGGTCCTACGTAAAGTAACTGATGGAGCAAACGAGATAGTTCGAGCGTTGGACGCGATCGGAGAAAACACACGGGATTGCTGGATCATCTTTTTGATTTTGCAAAAAATGGATGCCGAAACACGCCGTAAATGGATCGAGGACAGCCGCGATCTGAAGTCACCAACAACCAACGATTTGTTTAAGTTCCTGGATACTCGCTGTGAGGAATTTGAACTCAGTCAACGCCAAAGCAATTGGGATGGCAAACCTAAGCAGCAGGAAAAGGCAAAAAGACCTATGCATGCCAACGCCATGTTGGCTGTCGAGAGGGGCACCTACGTCAGAGGCAATACGAACGAGCATCACCTAGCAGGCTCTGCGGACTTCCTGGCGCTGAGTGTTGAGCAACGGCGATCAATGGCTAAGGAAAAATCGGTATGTTTCAACTGTTTGAGATCGGGACATTTTACAAGGCAGTGTGAATCCAAATTCAACTGTAGAACATGCCACGGACGACATCATACGCTACTGCATGTACAAGCTGCATCCGCGCAAGGCTTTGCAGCAACTACGAACACTTCGCAGGCTACGGTACAGGACGTACCAACTGGAAGGGAGAATCAGCGTAATCAGGACGAATCTCAAGCTACATCGGTGACAGTGAGTCACATAGCACGAGCACATGGCTCACAATCGGCTGCATACGCACAAGGCCTTGCAGAAATTACACACAAACATGGGCGTCGCCAAAGCACGCTACCGACTGCAATGGTATTTGTTCAGAACGCAAATGGAACATATACAAGCTGCCGGCTACTATTGGACAGTGGTTCTGAGTTGTCATACATTTCGGAACGTTGCATTAACGCACTTGGACTTGCACGTTCATCATCTCGAATATTGGTATCGGGAATTTCTTCCATCAAGGCTGAGGCAACCAGAGGAATCACACAGCTGAATCTCAAATCGCGATTCACAGACAGCGCACTAAAGATTACTGCACACGTTCTCAGTAAGATCACATCGTCTCTGCAGAGAAACAACATCGAATCATCATCACTCAAGGTGTTCGATGGATTCCTGATGGCGGATACCGACTTCGCAACGGTGGCTCCGATAGACATTTTATTGGGGAGCGACTACGTTTGGAGCACGCTAACGGGCCAAAAGATGCACGACAACATGGGCAATCTTATTGCCATATCTTCGATATTTGGATGGATCATCACATCGGTTGGAGTTAATCCGTCTCCAACAACTACAACGCTATTCTCCACATGCAACATTGATAGTACACTACAACGATTTTGGGAGATAGAAGAAGTCAGCAGCTACGCACGCAAGGATCCAGACGAAGACACGGTGGATAAACATTTCCTCGAGACGCACAAAAGGGACAACGATGGAAAGTATATCGTCGAGCTACCATTCAAGACGGCAAATCCGAAGTTTGCAGACACTCTCCAAGGAGCACAAGCTCGCTTCATGGCTGTAGAAAAACGGCTACAGCGCAATCCGGATCTACGAGAGAAGTATGTCAAATTCATGCAGGAATACCTGAGTCTTGGTCATATGACCGAAGTTAAACCATTGAGCAACGATTCAGGTAACCTCTTCTATCTGCCCCATCACCCTATAGTTGGACGAAAACTTAGGGTCGTATTCGACGGGTCATTCAAGGACGCAAATGGAGTGGCTCTGAATGACACACTACACGTTGGGCCGAGCATTCAGCGCAACCTTTTTGCTGTTTGTCTCCGCTTCAGAATGTACAGATATGTATTCTCCGCAGACATTGTCAAAATGTTTCGCCAAGTTTGGGTAAGCACCGATCATCAAGGCTACCAAAGAATCCTATGGAGAGAGCATCCATCTGCGCCTTTGAAGCACTACCAGTTACGCACTGTAACTTATGGAACAGCTTGTGCGCCCTATCTGGCTGTAAGGGTATTGGAGCAACTGGCACAGGATTACAGAGACGAATATCCAACTGCATCGAGAATTCTTCTAGAGGACTTCTACGTCGACGATGTACTCACTGGAGCGAACCGCGAAGATGAGCTACTAGCAAATAAGAATGAGCTATTACAACTGATGTCACACGCCAAATTGGACCTTGACAAGTGGGTATCCAATTCATCACTAATATGTAAGCCCGATTCCAGAGACGCTATCAGCCCGGGAAACGCACGAGTACAAGATTCGATAAAGGTTCTTGGAATTTACTGGAACCCAACCGACGACACGCTGATGTACCAAACCGGCTTGACATCAAATCCGAGCTGCACTAAAAGGCAAATCCTCTCAGATGTTGCACGTATCTTTGACCCGCTTGGCCTACTATCGCCGATTGTGGTACAATTCAAAATCATGTTCCAAAGGCTATGGTTATTGGATCTCGATTGGGATTCGGAGCTTCCACCAAACATTGCCGAACCTTGGCTCAAGTGCAGAGCAGATCTCGACACGCTGCGAAAGTTGCAAATACCACGATTTGTCCTTAGCAAGGAGGACTCGATGGAGCTTCACGCCTTCTCCGATGCATCGACCAAGGCATATGCTGCTGCTGTTTACTGCAGGTGTCGAAACAAGGACGGAACCTATTCGGTTTCATTGATGGCTGCCAAAACCAGGGTAGCACCACTGAAACAACAATCCTTACCTCGACTAGAGGTCTACGACACAAGGAAATTCAGGTTGTTGCATGGTGCGATTCAACTATTGTTTTATCCTGGCTATCATATCCACCATCGAAGATGAAAACCTTCGTCGCAAATCGCACTTCGGAAATTCTGGAAACGTTGCCGCGACATACCTGGCTTCACGTAAGCTCAAAGGAGAATCCCGCCGACTGCGCATCAAGGGGAATGACGACTTCCCAACTACTAGAATTTCACCTGTGGTGGAACGGGCCACCATGGCTGCTCAACGATGACGAGTACACGGCTAAGGTACAAAACTCTGAAACTAGTTTCAAGTTTTCAGATCATCATGCACAAGACGAATTGAGGACCACAGCCATGCTCACTCGTGAGAGGATGGACGACTCATTTTCAGCGTTCGACAACCTTGTTGAACGCGTCTCATCCTGGCAGAAGCTGGTACATACCGTGGGCTATGTTCTACGCTTTATCCGACGACTGAAAAAGACACGAAACCGAGCGGAATCAACCACACTGTCTTTTGAGGAGATCAAGGCAGCACGACTTGTATGCCTGAGAAACGATCAGGCGTGCTTTGGAGAAGACCGAATGCTTCTCCAGACGAATCAACCACTGCGAAACAGGTCGCAATTATCAAAGCTTGCACCGTTTATTGATTCGGATGACCTACTACGAGTTGGCGGGCGCTTGAGACAATCTAAACTACCGGAAGAAGTCAAACACCCGATACTGCTGCCGAAGGCTCACCGCATTACGAAGCTGCTCCTGGAACACGAACACTGGGTAAACTTGCACCCAGGTACATCGGCACTATTTGTAATAACGCGTCAACGTTATTGGATTATTGGTGCACGAAATCTGATAAGGAAGGTTACTCACAACTGTATCAGATGCTTTCGTCAAAGGCATCATACTACGCACCAACTCATGGCCGATTTGCCAAGTATCCGAATCACACAATCGCTTCCTTTTGTCAACTCTGGATGTGATTACGCTGGACCAATCATTCTTAAGGATCGAAAGGGTCGCAACGCTAAGAAGTCAAAGGGATACATATGCCTTTTTGTGTGCCTCGTCACTTCGGCACTACATCTGGAACTCGCTACTGACCTTAGCACAGAGGCATTTCTAGCAGCCCTCAGAAGATTCATGTCTCTACGAGGAAAATGCGCACAGATCTACAGTGACAACGGTAGGAACTTTGTCGGAGCAAAGCGAGCACTGGATGAGATGCAACAACTTCTGGCATCTACAAACCACAGAGACCTGGTCTCACAGACTCTGGCAGACGAAGGTATTAACTGGGTTTTCATTCCGCCGTATGCACCTCACTGGGGAGGAAAATGGGAGTCCTCCGTTCGATCAGTCAAGCTGCATCTGCGCCGCATCATTGGCAACACTATCCTGACGTTCGAGCAGATGCACACCTTACTAGCTCAAATCAGTGCAGTGGTAAACTCGAGACCATTGTACTATACACCGGACACCGATGTCACATATCTATCTCCAGCACATCTGTTGATAGGCAGATCATTTACAACCATTCCTGAAGGGGACCTGGGCCACATCCCTGAAAATCGACTTGACTACTGGCAAGGCGTTCAAGCACTCTACCAAGGATTCTGGAAGCGCTGACACCAGGAATACCTCACTACGCTACAACAACGTCCCAAATGGGAAACACCGCAGCCGAATGTGGAATTGGGAACCGTCGTCCTCATCAAGGATTCGAATACTCCACCAGCTTCCTGGCCACTGGCAAAGGTTATCGCAACGTACCCTGGAGCTGACGGTATGGTTAGGGCTGTCAAATTGAAAACTGCCACAGGAGAAGCAACTCGACCCATAACCAAGATTGCTATACTACCTTGTTCAGAAACGATGTTTCAGGGCGGGCCGGGATGTTGAGAAACGGACTCCATTCTGGCGGCGTTGCCAGTGTTCAGGTTGCCATGGCAATGCAGATCGACGCGTCGTCTTTTCTTACTGTTAGTTTTTGCTTCTTTATACACATTCGAGCGCTGCGTCGCTTTTAGTTTTTTAAGTCACTTGTTCTTCAGCAGTCAATCCGTGAACACACAGCATAGTACATACAGTCCACTTCAATAAAATATTTTGGAAACACAACATCGCACTACGTTTCTCATCAGCAGCTATAGGATATAGTCGGCCGATCCTCATGAAGTTTTTTAGTTGGATCAACTGACTAAAAATAGAATCTGTACTAAGTTTAAATTTTCTATCATCAAAAACACAAAAGTTGGGTCATTTCCGATCGTTCAGTTATATGGCAGCTATAGGATATAGTCGGCCGATCCTTATGAAGTTTGTTAGTTATATAAACTGACCAAAAATAGAATTTGTACTAAGTTCCAGCTTTCTATCTTCAAAAACACAAAAGTTGGGTCATTTCCGATCGTTCAGTTATATGGCAGCTATAGGATATAGTCGGCCGATCCTCATGAAGTTTGTTAGTTGGATCAACTGACTAAAAATAGAATCTGTACTAAGTTTCAGTTTTCTATCTTCAAAAACACAAAAGTTGGGTCATTTCCGATCGTTCAGTTATATGGCAGCTATAGGATATAGTCGGCCGATCCTCATGAAGTTTGTTAGTTGGATCAACTGACTAAAAATAGAATTTGTACTAAGTTCCAGCTTTCTATCTTCAAAAACACAAAAGTTGGGTCATTTCCGATCTTTCAGTTATATGGCAGCTATAGGATATAGTCGGCCGATCCTCATGAAGTTTGTTAGTTGGATCAACTGACTAAAAATAGAATCTGTACTAAGTTTCAGTTTTCTATCTTCAAAAACACAAAAGTTGGGTCATTTCCGATCGTTCAGTTATATGGCAGCTATAAGATATAGTCGGCCGATCCTCATGAAGTTTGTTAGTTGGATCAACTGACTAAAAATAGAATTTGTACTAAGTTCCAGCTTTCTATCTTCAAAATCACAAAAGTTGGGTCATTTCCGATCTTTCAGTTATATGGCAGCTATAGGATATAGTCGGCCGATCCTTATGAAGTTTGTTAGTTATATAAACTGACCAAAAATAGAATCTGTACTAAGTTCCAGCTTTCTATCTTCAAAAACACAAAAGTTGGGTCATTTCCGATCGTTCAGTTATATGGCAGCTATAGGATATAGTCGGCCGATCCTCATGAAGTTTTTTAGTTGGATCAACTGACTAAAAATAGAATCTGTACTAAGTTTAAATTTTCTATCATCAAAAACACAAAAGTTGGGTCATTTCCGATCGTTCAGTTATATGGCAGCTATAGGATATAGTCGGCCGATCCTTATGAAGTTTGTTAGTTATATAAATTGACCAAAAATAGAATTTGTACTAAGTTCCAGCTTTCTATCTTCAAAAACACAAAAGTTGGGTCATTTCCGATCGTTCAGTTATATGGCAGCTATAGGATATAGTCGGCCGATCCTCATGAAGTTTGTTAGTTGGATCAACTGACTAAAAATAGAATCTGTACTAAGTTTCAGTTTTCTATCTTCAAAAACACAAAAGTTGGGTCATTTCCGATCGTTCAGTTATATGGCAGCTATAGGATATAGTCGGCCGATCCTCATGAAGTTTGTTAGTTGGATCAACTGACTAAAAATAGAATCTGTACTAAGTTTCAGTTTTCTATCTTCAAAAACACAAAAGTTGGGTCATTTCCGATCGTTCAGTTATATGGCAGCTATAGGATATAGTCGGCCGATCCTCATGAAGTTTGTTAGTTGGATCAACTGACTAAAAATAGAATTTGTACTAAGTTCCAGCTTTCTATCATCAAAAACACAAAAGTTGGGTCATTTCCGATCGTTCAGTTATATGGCAGCTATAGGATATAGTCGGCCGATCCTCATGAAGTTTGTTAGTTGGATCAACTGACTAAAAATAGAATCTGTACTAAGTTTCAGTTTTCTATCTTCAAAAACACAAAAGTTGGGTCATTTCCGATCTTTCAGTTATATGGCAGCTATAGGATATAGTCGGCCGATCCTCATGAAGTTTGTTAGTTGGATCAACTGACTAAAAATAGAATCTGTACTAAGTTTCAGTTTTCTATCTTCAAAAACACAAAAGTTGGGTCATTTCCGATCGTTCAGTTATATGGCAGCTATAGGATATAGTCGGCCGATTCTTATGAAGTTTGTTAGTTATATAAACTGACCAAAAATAGAATTTGTACTAAGTTCCAGCTTTCTATCTTCAAAAACACAAAAGTTGGGTCATTTCCGATCGTTCAGTTATATGGCAGCTATAGGATATAGTCGGCCGATTCTTATGAAGTTTGTTAGTTATATAAACTGACCAAAAATAGAATTTGTACTAAGTTCCAGCTTTCTATCTTCAAAAACACAAAAGTTGGGTCATTTCCGAACGTTCAGTTATATGGCAGCTATAGGATATAGTCGGCCGATCCTTATGAAGTTTGTTAGTTGGATCAACTGACTAAAAATAGAATTTGTACTAATGTCCAGCTTTCTATCTTCAAAAACACAAAAGTTGGGTCATTTCCGATCGTTCAGTTATATGGCAGCTATAGGATATAGTCGGCCGATCCTCATGAAGTTTGTTAGTTGGATCAACTGACTAAAAATAGAATCTGTACTAAGTTTCAGTTTTCTATCTTCAAAAACACAAAAGTTGGGTCATTTCCGATCGTTCAGTTATATGGCAGCTATAGGATATAGTCGGCCGATTCTTATGAAGTTTGTTAGTTATATAAACTGACCAAAAATAGAATTTGAACTAAGTTCCAGCTTTCTATCTTCAAAAACACAAAAGTTGGGTTATTTCCGATCGTTCAGTTATATGGCAGCTATAGGATATAGTCGGCCGATCCTTATGAAGTTTGTTAGTTGGATCAACTGACCAAAAATAGAATTTGTACTAAGTTCCAGCTTTCTTTCTTCAAAAAAACGAAAGTTGGGTCATTTCCGATCGTTCAGTTATATGGCAGCTATAGGATATAGTCGGCCGATCCTTATGAAGTTTGTTAGTTGGATCAACTGACTAAAAATAGAATTTGTACTAAGTTCCAGCTTTCTATCTTCAAAAAAACGAAAGTTGGGTCATTTCCGATCGTTCAGTTATATGGCAGCTATAGGATATAGTCGGCCGATCCTTATGAAGTTTGTTAGTTGGATCAACTGACTAAAAATAGAATTTGTACTAATGTCCAGCTTTCTATCTTCAAAAACACAAAAGTTGGGTCATTTCCGATCGTTCAGTTATATGGCAGCCATAGGATATAGTCGGCCGATTCTTATAAAGTTTGTTAGTTATATAAACTGACCAAAAACAGAATTTGTACTAAGTTCCAGCTTTCTATCTTCAAAAACACGAAAGTTGGGTCATTTCCGATCGTTCAGTTATATGGCAGCTATAGGATATAGTCAAACGATCCTTATGAAGTTTGTTAGTTGGATCAACTGACTAAAAATAGAATTTGTACTAATGTCCAGCTTTCTATCTTCAAAAACACAAAAGTTGGGTAATTTCCGATCGTTCAGTTATATGGCAGCCATAGGATATAGTCGGCCGATTCTTATAAAGTTTGTTAGTTATATAAACTGACCAAAAATAGAATTTGTACTAAGTTCCAGCTTTCTATCTTCAAAAACACAAAAGTTGGGTCATTTCCGATCGTTCAGTTATATGGCAGCTATAGGATATAGTCGGCCGATCCTCATGAAGTTTTTAGTTGGATCAACTGACTAAAAATAGAATCTGTACTAAGTTTCAGTTTTCTATCTTCAAAAACACAAAAGTTGGGTCATTTCCGATCGTTCAGTTATATGGCAGCTATAGGATATAGTCGGCCGATTCCTATGAAGTTTGTTAGTTGGATCAACTGACCAAAAATAGAATTTGTACTAAGTTCCAGCTTTCTATCTTCAAAAACACAAAAGTTGGGTCATTTCCGATCGTTCAGTTATATGGCAGCTATAGGATATAGTCGGCCAATTCTTATGAAGTTTTTTAGTTTGATCAACTGACCAAAAATAGAATTTGTGCTAAGTTCGAGCTTTCTATCTTCAAAAACACAAAAGTTGGGTCATTTCCGATCGTTCAGTTATATGGCAGCTATAGGATATAGTCGGCCGATCCTCATGAAGTTTGTTAGTTGGATCAACTGACTAAAAATAGAATTTGTACTAAGTTCCAGCTTTCTATCTTCAAAAACACAAAAGTTGGGTCATTTCCGATCGTTCAGTTATATGGCAGCTATAGGATATAGTCGGCCGATCCTCATGAAGTTTGTTAGTTGGATCAACTGACTAAAAATAGAATTTGTACTAATGTCCAGCTTTCTATCTTCAAAAACACAAATGTTGGGTCATTTCCGATCGTTCAGTTATATGGCAGCTATAGGATATAGTCGGCCGATCCTCATGAAGTTTGTTAGTTGGATCAACTGACTAAAAATAAAATCTGTACTAAGTTTCAGTTTTCTATCTTCAAAAACACAAAAGTTGGGTCATTTCCGATCGTTCAGTTATATGGCAGCTATAGGATATAGTCGGCCGATTCTTATGAAGTTTGTTAGTTATGTAAACTGACCAAAAATAGAATTTGTACTAAGTTCCAGCTTTCTATCTTCAAAAACACAAAAGTTGGG